ATTCAAAGAAAATAAAATAATAAGAAAACATAAAAATAAAGGTAATAACATTTGTATTAAGTTTCATTCTACACATTGCCATATCAGTTTTACAATCGGTTGTTAATGGTGAATGATTAATTTTCTTAGAGTGATACATAAGTGGATAATAATATTTTTAAAATTGGATCAATAATTAAATTAGTAAAAGTATTAATTCATAATTTATTATTTTAATTATAATTAAATTATGGTTAAATTGATAATAATGAAATACATGTTTTAAATATTATATAATATAATAAGTAAAAAAATTAATATAAAATTATAAAAATTAAGTTAAATAAAAATTTAAAATAGAATAAATTAAATATCATATTACATATTTTATAAGACAAAAGAATTGTAATAAATTATTGAATAATAATAATAATTTATAAATAGATATTATATATGAGTGTTTATAAATAAAAAAACAGAAAAATAATAAGTTTTACGAAGTAATTAGTTCAAAATGATTTGCAATTATGTGCAGTGATTTTTATTCGATTTTAACTGATTTGATTGGTTTTTGAAATATTTTTACTTCATTAATTGGTTGGGTAGCTGAAATTCATTAACCCATTTTTTGTTCGAACCGGCCAATTTAGCTTGGTTTTAATAACCATGGTAGATAATAATTAATGATTCCTTTTAATTTGGTACAAAATTATTTGTAAAATCATGTAGCATAAAGGCAAATTTATATGTTTTGCATCTATTCTCTTTATTCTTTTTCTTGTCCATTTGAGTGTTACATTTTCACTATATTTTTCTTATAAATAACATTTTGGAATGTTTGTCTCTAAACTTGAGTCATTTGCAATCCAAAATGTTTGCAGTGACATTCTATAATTAGACCTTGTAGCATAGGATTCAATGTCTTGAGGATAGTAACTCTACCCAACAACCTAGGCTACTACATATGCATGCGACTTGTGTTATATGCCTAAAGTGGGCTTTGTGCTTGAAGGTGGTGGCCACAAGGAAGTGAAACGATGCGAATATCCATTTAAAAGAAAAGAAAAAACATAATTGATTCCGACCCTTAAATGCACAACAATAGCTTTTGTTTTTGGTCAAAATAATTTGATTAAAGCTGAAAGGTTAGTCATATAGCACTTACCACAAGAGATTTTAAATTTCAAAAAATAATATAACTAAGCACTATAAGATATAAATTAGAAGAATATAAGATAATCTGCTCTAAACAAACACAACTTAAATCTTAAATGACGTTAAAATGTTCTAAGATCTAAACACGTAATGTCAAAACAATGTTATTATCTACTTTGAATAATTCTTACTGTAATGTCAAAATAAAAAGTTTATATCAAGCAACTATCATTTTTCTCTGCATTGTTATTCAGAATTCTCTAATCTTTCAGTTATCAAAGTAATTATAAAGCTTTTATTTAAGAAGAGATAGGTAAATTTTTATTTTAAATAAATAAATTTAATATTAATATTATTTTTAAAATAAAAGATATAAACTGATATATTAACGTAAATTTAATATATTAATTGTATAATTTTTATCATAACAATGTATAATTTATCTTAATTTAAAATTAAAAAATATCTGTTCTCCTAATTTTTTTCTCAGAACAATTGTCTCTTAAATGTTCAAACACACCCTAAAGGTAAAAGGCCTGTTATTGACAACATCTTGACAGTTCTGTTTATTTCACATTTGTTTAAAACAATATACAATTATGATCCAGAAAGAAGAAATCCTCGATAATGTCAAATAAAACGGAATACTATGAACAGAAAAGTCCAATATTTCTTCCAATTAATCATGAAAAAGCTTGGTGCCCCAGGCTCCCTGTGTACTGTTTTAGACCCTCCAATCAGCATGAAGGCTTCTAGTGTTTCTTCTCCGTAACACAAGACACGATTACCAATTCCTTAATTTAATTTAACACACCAACTTATATTATCAATCTTTTATCACCATTCTCCTAGCCACTCATAGCCATTGTGCATAAGTTTAATGTAACAGGGAAATCTTTCACAATTATTTTCCTTTGTTCTATTAACATTTCTAGTGTAGCCTTCACACATGACTAACTAAGATTTGTGGCTAGACTTGGTATTTTGGCAGGATATATATGTTGCATAGTTTTTGGACTTAGGAAAAGGGGGTTCTTACTCTAAGGAGCATTTACTCTTACATGTCATCAGGAGACGGCTATTAATTAAATGAATGCCTCTTGTTCCTCCCTATAATAATGAAGACAAAATCAAACTTGTGGCAAGTATGGCGCACTGCACAGACCGATCATTTCTTGAAGATTATATGTTGAACTTGGCTTATGAATTGAATTGTAGGCAAAGGAGGGATTTCAATATTAGAAAAATCTTTATTAATAGTTACGACTAAATCATATAAATAAATTTAATATTCTATGTAACTCAAAATTCTTATGAATTATATATTGACAAACTTTAAAATTAGAATTTAGAAACCAATTATCAACTTTTTAGAGGCAAATAAGTTCACTAGAAGCCAGACTTTAAAATTCTTTTATGGGAGACTGCCTAGGGTTCAAAATGTGCCATCTGATATGTTCTCCTAACATGATAATTTAATAGAAGAAAAAAAATACAGATTGAAACAACCTAATCCCACTTCTAGAGGAAGAGTCGATTTTCAAAGATTTTTTTTTGTTTCTTTGTGTGTTTCTTTTATATAGAAATGGCTGCAAATGGGAAAAAAGTCCTACCCGGACACTTAAATAGAAATGATACGAAGTAAAACGTGTGGTCAATATTATTTTTGACATAATTCCCTAACATGTCACACGGAAGTAATAAAATTTCCTTTTATTCCAACTTAAATTTGCGGATCATCAACTACTAAAACAGACATATTAAAACAAACACTTTTAAAATAATTAATTTATGTTTGCTTGGATTATAAATTAAAATTACTTTTAAATTGTAAATATAAATGTTTTATAAGTTTCACATATAAAACAATTTGTTATCTATTGAAGAATTAAAACCTTCACTTCTTTTTAAAATATTTTTATTTATTATAAAGTTTAAAATTAAAAACACTAGTTGCCCTAAAGTTGATTTTGTTCACGACCACTGTATTTGAAATAAGCTTTTAAGTAAAATGTCATTCAATCTGATCATAAAAATATATTATATTTCGGTTTAAATTAATTTAAACAAAATTTTGAAATAAATTCAATTATTAAATCAAGTAGATCAGTTATTATTATTATTAATAATAATAATAATAATAATAATAACAGCAGCAGAAAGAGCTTTGATAGTGAATTTGTGAAAGAAAACCAGATATTTCACTTTTGTAAATAAAATTATATACATTAACATAAATTTAGTTTAATTAACTTTTGTGATTTGTATTGAATTAATGAGTTTATCAATACCTGGGGAAGCCAAAGAGACTAACCCATCCAAGAAAGCTTGTGGAAGCCACTTTAAGCTCCTCATCCTATGCAATTAAGGTGTTAAGGAGTTTGTTAGAAAATAAACGAAATGTATGACCTTCTATTAGTTTTTGTTAAGGTTTAGTAACTCAAAGAGCTATGACAAAACCTGAGCATTGTAAGATAGTGTGCTCTTCAGAATTAAAAGTGGGTACATTTCCAAACAAGTCCTTTTCGCCTCTACACATTGTCGGCCAAAAGAAGAGTGAGGAAAATGCCCAATTGATGAAGAAGTGAGGTCCTAATTCACTAGTGCTCCATCATTTGGCAAAGAGATGCAGATCGCATGACCTTGGTTTACATAGTGGACGATATACATGAGGGCATGTTTTTTTTGTCTCCCTTTTTCCTTTCTTTCTTTTTTCTTTCTTAGTGTATGTTTGAATGAGATTTTATTTAATAAATTAGTTTTATTTTTTTAAAATTATTAAAATTTAGTTATTATTTTATAAATTAATTTATTTAGACATAAATTTAATTTGTTGTTACTGGGTTCTTGACTTATTGTTTACAGCTTGTGTATATAGATAGATATGTCTTGTAGGTGAGGAAATCACTAAATTGTAATTCATGGTCTATATTACGCGTACCAGAAAAATAAGACCCGTAAATTTAATCTTTAAAACAAATGTAGATTAGGTAATTTCATCCAATTTCATTAAAAATGAGCATAATTTGGTTTTTATACCAATAATTTTCAACTAAACCTTAATTAAATTGAAAATTCAAAAATACATTCTTCTATGGTCGGAATGTGTCTGAAGTATACCAAGTGAAACGGTTTTAGCGTGAGCATTTGAAAATATGAGGTAAGCTTTTGTTGGGAAGGAGCAGCAAAGTGGTAAGTTTATGAGAGAAAGAAATGAAAACCAGAATTGATGTGTTTGCATTGGCAGGGGAATGAGCTGGCCCAGCTGTGGCTGAAATGTCCTTTGGTACTATGCAACAAGTTATCACCACCTGGACAATAGCCACGTACGCACCACCCTTTAAGACTCATCTGCAGGAGACACTGACTCTTGTGTGAATCAGTGACCTCAACGAATATATTCTTGCCTAATATTTTCAGACAAATTTATTACCCCCAACTAACACATGTGATTGTTAAAGAAATCACACACACACACACAAATATATTAAACCCAGATGAGTTACACTTACACAATCTGTACAAATTTTTATTATTTCTAATTATGATGCAATTTACGATATCATTCAATATTTTAAAAGCATCTATTACTACTACTAGTTACTATTGTAATATCTCATCCCACTAACTTTTTCATCGCCGGTAAACTTACCCCCCCTTTTCCCAAACACTATACAGTAATTCTTGTTAATTTTTTTTTTCATGGTTTTGTTTGTATTCTCTTCTCAAATCATTAGTGGTTGAGATTTTGGGACCCTATTGTATTGCTGTATCCCTCTATCCCTCTATCTTCTCACAACCCCATTTAAACCTCAGATTTTGTCATCACTTCTCATTATAACCATCATCATCACCGTTTCTACCTGCATCATCATCACCCTCTTTCTTCCAAACCATTAACCCCTTTCCCTTGTTTTATCTTTGTTTTGGTTTGTTTTGTTTCCTTTCCCCATCCAGGCCTACAATTCCCCCTTAGAAGAATGCTTTAAACTTGACAAAAACCCTAATCCCTCTTTTCTCTCTCTCTCTTTTCTCTGTCCTTCCTGTTATATTATTATCACCCTTGAAGAGACAGACATGGACTTAACAAACAGCAGTACTACCCAAACCTTAGATGCAGATACTAAACCCACACCAACAACCCAACCCACCAACGCTCAAACCTCAAAGTCTCAATCTTTCACCAACGGCACACTAAAGCGCCACTCGACAATCACTGCCCCACTGATACAACCACCCCCCATGGTGGTTTCTTACAAAGAATGCCTCAAAAACCATGCTGCCACCATTGGTGGCCATGCACTTGACGGTTGTGGTGAGTTCATGCCTTCTTCCTCCACCAACCTCACTGATCCACGATCTCTCAAATGTGCAGCATGTGGCTGCCACCGCAACTTCCACCGCCGTGACCCTCAAGAACACAACAATACCACCACCAACAGCAATAACAACAGCAACAACAACAACCCCACCTTTCTCAACTGCATCTACGCCCCTTCAGCTCCACCCCCGCTACCTCACCGAGCCATAAGCCAAAGCACAAGTCCAAGCCTGAGTTCAAGCCCGAGCCATAGTCCAAGCCCAATGTCAAGCCCTTCACCACCACCACTCTCACACTTGCCACCTTCATACCACACTTCAGCACCCCACATGCTCTTAGCCCTTGGCACTGCCTATTCTGCACCCTCTTCTGATGATCATCACCATCATAAAAGTCTCAGCTTTTTGAATGTGAAGAGTGAGAACCCAAGTGGGAAGAAGAGGTATAGAACTAAGTTCAGCAAGGAGCAGAAGGAGAAGATGTATAGTTTTTCTGAGAAATTGGGGTGGAGAATGCAAAAGGGGGATGATGGGTTGGTCCAGGAATTCTGCAATGACATTGGGGTCTCTAGAGGGATCTTCAAGGTATGGATGCACAACAACAAGAACACTTTTAGGAAGAGATCGGAAGTGGGAAATGCTCTTCAAACTGAAAAGATCAATGGGGATCATGATGATGGCAATGCCGTTGGTGGGGGTGGCGGTGGTGGTGGAGGAGGAGGATTTGATAGTGATATCAACAACCCCTACAACCCAAATAGCAATAACAATGACATTCACATGAATGAAAATGATAGCTGTGCCAATGTTCATGTCTCTCTTAATGAGTTGTCGGCTTAGATTAATTTTCCTTTGTCAGGGATGTTAGATAGATGGGAATGAAGCTGGTCGAAATTTGGGGGCCATGATCAGTAATCATTTTTGTTTATTACCATGTTTTTAGTTTTTCTTTTTTAATCAGCTAAGGCTATAGGAAAATCCAGTTGTCTTAGTTTCTATTAAAATGTCATATTATATTATGTTTATTTATGTTCATAGACTCTGAAATTAGTATCATCCGGACATGTTTCACCTTCTTCAGCTGATGGGTCTTGTTACAGTCACGATTTTTCTTTTCTTTTTTTGAGTACAGGTCTATACATTTTTATGATATTTACTTTGAAAGGTTGATATTAATTATTCATCTACTTTCTTTGAGACATCCACCTCCCAAAATGCCCATACTTATTTGTCCAACACACACGAGCTTTATCAATTCTGGGGTGGAAGCTATCTTCAATTTTGTCCTTGTTCATTTATGGAGATCTCCTACTTTTACAGGATTTTTTTTATCTCGGAGATAATGCTATTGATTCGTCTGGTGAAACATTGCACGACCATACTTGTAAATCTAATCTTCCTATTAATTTCTTTAATGGTTTATCGTGTTTGGGTGTAAGTGGTCCTAGCTAAGTTATCTCCAAAGGAAGAAAATGTAAAAAGATCATTAGTCCATGCTATTTGCTTATGTGGTCTTATCTTCTAATCTAATTAGAGTTCCAATCATTTTCTTTTGGCATAAAAAGGAACAAGCAGGAGAGTAGGATATATATTAGAGGGAGTTCTTACTTTTATGTGTTTATTTTTATTTTTATTCAAGTGTTATTGATGTAAAATGTTTTTATTGTTACGATTACATGATAGGAAAAAAATAGTATTTCAAACTAAAATTATTCAAATAGAAATGATAATATCCACCCAAGGGTAGGAGGAGTAGAATTACCTTATTTTGGAATATTAGATGACATTTGTAAATGCAAATTGTCAATTGTGGTGTTTATTATTTTATTATTATTACTATTATTATTATTATTATTATTATCTGATTACCATAATCTTTTCTTTGTCTATGCTTAGAAGGCAAGCGGATGCTGTGGTTAATTAATTAATGGAGAGTAATGGGGGCAGTGCTGATTACTTAATCTGCCACCTTTACATATTAGGTTGGTTCAATGAGGCGGCAAGTGTTGTTTTTGTTTGGTTCATTGTATTTATTTAAGTTAACAAGTTTAAGATGGGAGGAAGATTTTATATTAAGATTAGTGTAAATCTATAATTTTTGTGACAACTTACATAGAAATCACCTATAAACGAGGAATCCTTGTATTTGACTTCAAGTCTTGCCCAAAGAAGTTATCCTTGTACTTCATATTGTTAACGTGCAATGATTACCCATGTAAGATAATCAAAAAAGCAAAATGCTTAATTAATAATTGATGTATTCAGTTGAAAGCTTCATTTGGATTAAAAAAATATTATTATACTTTTTAAGCTGCCACGTGGTTTTCTTTCTTTTCAAGTTTATAGTTTTACGATTGTGGGGACGAAAGTACCCTTAGTGAGTTTTTCTTAGTATAAGATCACAGCTTTTCCAGAGAATGGACCACAGGAATTAATGCCATTTTGGAAGCTGTGTTGCTGCAGCAGTGGACCTTTATTCTTCGTTTCTTCTTTTTTATTTTAGAATTTTACTGGAACCAAATCTTAGCCCAGACAAAATGCCAAATTTTACTACCGGTTAAATAATGTGTTGCGGTGAAAAAGAAGTTGAAATATGTTTTTCTGAACTCAAATTTTAATTAAACAACTAAATATTGTTACTTGATTTTGGAGCATATCCTTATATGCATATACACACAAAAAAAGTTAAATGTAAATAGAGATAATTTTATATGATGTTATATATAATATTATTATTTTTGTTGAATTTTAATATATTATCGGTGTAAATTTTTTTGCTTTCAATTAATTAAAACATATCTTAAAAATGACTTTTAAAATGATTATACATAACGATCATGATTTTTAGATTATATAGCAATTCATAACTGAATGATAGTAAAAAGAATTACATTGACAAGATATTGTAATTAAATTATAAACTTTTTATGTTTTAAATAATAAAAAAAATTTAAAAACATATGCCAATAGAAACATATCAAAATAAAAATAAGTCCTTTTTACATATACAAGTTGAAAATAATTATGTTAGTATTAGTTATTTCAGTTTAAGTACAAACTATTATAAGAGAATATATGTTTCAATTTGCATTCTTCCGTCAAACTTTTAGATTTTGTAATTTATTCTTTTTTTAAGATATTTTTACTTTAATTTGTCCTGTAAAGTAGAAAAAGCATAAATTAATTAAATTTATAATAACTTTTTTAAAATTATAATTTAATAATTTGAATAAAAATAACACTTGAACTTAATTTACAATTTTTTAATAATATTAATAAATTAATTCCAAAAATATATTAAAATAAAATAAAATATTAGTTTAAATATAACTTCATCAACACTTTAACTATAGAGAACTCTTAAATCTAGGCTTCTGTATTTTTCAAAATGGTCATAGATCAAAATTTTAAAAATTTGATAGCATATTTTTGTCTAGTTTCTTTCTAGGGGTGACTTCCTAAAAACTTACAATCCAAAAGCACTTTTCTTAAAAACCTTTCTCATCCTAACTTTTAGAACTTTTACATAAGTTATTTCAACAAATTATCTAAACAATACTTTAAGTTGTAAAAATACTTAAGCTAATAGATAAATTCTTAGAAGGTCTTATGCTCTGCACCCAAACACACCCTATGTTTAAAAACACATTTGTATCGTAAGGCAACGTAATGTGCATATACGTGATATAAAGAAAAAATATTTTTTTAATATTAACAATTTAAAAAATTTAAAATTAGTGAGATGTTATCATTTTGTTACTCTTGGAAACATGCCTTAAGAACAATTGATTATGTTTATTTTTCTTGTTTGGTTCAAAAGTAACCCTAGTTTTAGTTCAAACAAAACGATTGTCGTAACTCTTCAGATACTTGCTCTTTTTTATTAGTTTTACTAAGATGTCAAAGCGGTTAGCTTACCTCGCCAAAAGCCCACCATAAAATAGGCTGGCTCGCCTTGTTTCATTTTAGAAAATATGTTAAGTTTTAGATCTTTAACATATTTAAGGGTGGACTAACACACTAATGGATCAGTCTGTCAAAGACCAAAAAATAAAATAAAAAATGTTGATGGGTCAACGGGTTAATGGGACAGTCCACCTAAAATTAACATCAAAATAAAAAAATTACAAAAATAATAAAAACTAATAAAATATATTTTATTTTTTAAAAATTAAAAATGGGCCCAACAGGATAATTCATCAGAGTCTCCATTTTGATCGAGTAAAACAAGATTGGCGAAGCGGGTACAAAATATCCAGCCTAGCCTACTAATTTTAGTAAGCTAAGCGAGTTACGCCACTTTCATACCCCTAAGTTTTGCCTTAGTTCAATTACATATTAAATTCTCTCTTCATCCTTTTTTTTTTTAATCTTAAGCATTATATTACGAAGCTCCAACGTGTTTAGCCTTAACTTTGAGTGTAATCTATCACATTGTCATGTTAACCTTAGAGAGCATGTTCAACTTCTTACTACATTAGAGATTTGTTAAAATATCATATTGATTCTTATAACACTTTTGACTTTATGAATAAAGTGATAAAATAATACTTTATTGTTTAAACTTAAAAATAAAAATGTGTGCAAAATTATAAAGAAATAGAAGTATATTTTTATTAAATTTAAATAATTTACAAATTTAACTCCTTTTTAAATTAAAAAAATCTACATTTCCTCATTTAAAAGAGATAAATTTAATAAAAAAAGGCATAATATTATTAATTGTTTTAAAAGAATAAAAATTATATAACAATAACAATGTTATTAGTAAAAACATTGTTCACTTTACAATAACTCATTCTTATTGTTTATTTTAATAGATGATATTTCAATTGGCAGTTACTAAACAAGAGAATTTTTAATAAATCAATTTAAAAGTATGAAAACTCGATGCAAACATTTCTTTTGATTTTTTCTTAATATACTTTCAAATTTTATTTTTAAAAATAAAAAACTGTTTTTTTAAAAAAGCAAACATGTTCTAAACATTTAGTTTTTATTTTTACAAGGAGACTATAGAAGAATAAATATATAAAAAGGTTTAATGCTTGGAGTTAGTGTAACAATAAATACAAATTTACAATATAAATTACAAAATAAAATATACTTCAATAGATAAAACAATTCAAAACAAAAAATAAATGAATAATAAAAAAATAATGAAAATAAACAAAGAAATAAAAATATAAAAATAAAACTTATATATGAATTTGTTTAAAAGAGTTTATAAATAACTTATAAAAAATACTTATTACTCAACTAAGATGTTTTTAACTTCTTTCAATGAGTTACTTAAACATAATTTTGGTGAACTTTAGAGAAGTTTTTATAGAAAAAAATTAGTATAAAAAATGAATATAATTTTTCTCATAAATGAAAAATAATTTATCTTTTCAAATTTTATAAAAAATAAATGAAAGAACTTTTCAAAACTTTATTCATTTTTTATAAGTTATTTATAGTTTATGAGTTTGTTATATGTATAGTTTAATCAAGTAAATACATTTTCAATTACAAGCAACTTGTCGGATTTTCTTCTTTAATAGCCCTAGATTAACTTAACAATTGGATAAAGCATAAGGTGTTATACCACTTCATACCTTCTACTCTAAGAATCTAATGTGTCTCATACCATATTAGTTCACAAGGTAAATGTTAATTACTTAACTAGTATCATATAAATTTAGTAAAATCTAACATTGAAGAATTATTCAGCCATTAACTCTAATTACCTAATAAAACCTACGGAATTCCATGTGTATAGGAATCCCTTTGTGCAACCATGATTTGACGACGAAACTATATTTCTGAATGTAGCAATCGTACTAATGGAATCTTATTATAATCCTCGAGTGTACCTACACCTCTGGATACAACATCAAAGATTTGTAAAATAAGAACTAAAGAGAGGGACAAGACTTTTCAAATACTCATAAAAACAGTTAGGACTTGAAAGGAATGAAAGAAATAAATAGAATA